AGTTTTACAGGATTTCATCACCATGATTCCGTGCCATTAAATTACAGTGAGGTCTCTGAAGGTCTTTGCTTTGAGACAATTTCAGTTTCACACAACAGAATTTCACTACAGCAGTCACTATGGTACATGATGATGGCTTTTACATTAATAACATTCAGCAATTATTTAGATCACACTAATTGTTAAGTCTGTGCTCCCAGTGTTTCTTACAATATAATCATTAATAATATTATTTTTTTCTTTTCTACATTATTAATAAGGAGTTACTAGTACCCCATTTTCATGATTGGGGTTCCTCTATCAAAACAAATATTACTATTTAGTAGGGTATGATTTTTTAAAGGAATGTGAATATTAAGGAATAAACACACTATTGAATATGGGTTGAGGTACTTCTCAGTCTAAGTGATTTTAGAGATTTTTTACATTTTGCAGAGGATGAAATTACCCAAACTCTACCAATTAAACACACCAAAAGCTGAAAAAAATCCAAGCTCATCCTTATTTTCCTCTTTTTCTTAAAGACTAATTCCTTTAAATAGGCTGTAATGAAATAATAGGAAGAAAAATAGTAAACATTAAAGGGACTAAGGAGATAAGCAGAATTATTAGGATTGTAGAAGGTTTACAAGGAAAAGCTAGGCAATCAGCCAAATAAGTCAAACCAAATTTAAAATATTGTAGTTTAATACACTAGGTATATAATAATATATAATATAATAATATACTAAGTATATAGTATTAAGCCTAAACATGTTTATCTACACTATGCCCAGATCACTCTTGCAGACTCAGTTTGAAACTCAGAAGTATGCAGACTGTCTACTGAAAAAAAAACCAAAAACCTAAAAACATTGTAGGAGAGGTGTAACATGCTATGCTGCTACAGAATTTATGGGGATTGCATGCTTTTAAACTGAAAATATCAGAGAGTTGCATACATGTACATTTAAACATATAAATGTACATGCATACACGTACATACATGTACATTTAAAGTTTGTATAACACTGTGATGTGTCTTAACAAAGGTAATGAGAAAGCCTATTTCAAGTTTGAAATAAAAAGGAATTAAAAATCAGTCTGAGCAACAAAATCAGAAATTATTTGTAGCCTCATAGGCACCTGACAACACAATATGCCTGCTGGAGGAGCTTAGGAAAACCCCCTGAGACCTGATGAAATCCTATACAAGATTGAATTTCTGGAGTCAGCTCATCTAAAACATTATAAAATATGTTCATGTAATAGCCTCAAATGCTGCAGCTGAAGGGCCTGAAGATTGAAAAGGACAAGAAAGAAAAAGACCACTCAAACGAGACAGCTAGATTAAAAAATTATATGCTGTCACTCAAATTTTAATGAAAGCATTGAGATTTCAATCTTTTCATGTTTTTCTGTTTCACACAGAAGTATGATTTATTTTTTAAGCTAACTCAGTAACATCTTTGTATTGTCGGAGAATTTCATCCTCATTTTTCCATTCTTAGTGTATGTATAGTGAAAACATCCTGATATATTAAGAATGTGTCTGATGAATTTACTAGAGATTAGATAAAATTCACTATAAAGGAAAAAGAGCTCCAATAAAGTCTCACAAGCATAAAATCATGCATTTTGGTTGCAACTTCACAAATGGGTATATTTGAATGGTTATAAGGAGGAATTCTTCAAATGGATGTCCTGACAGGCTAAACAAAAGTCTAGGCAGAGACAGAAATGTTTTTTCTCTAAGCTTCAGGCATGTAGCCCAGACATATCTGCCCCCACACTGAACTTCTGATCATTTTATCTGAGCATTAAGCCACTGGGCATGCCAGGGGCTCCAAGGAAACTGTGGGTTCCGGAGAATCTGTTGAAAATCTTTGTCTATTGGCACACTTGCATGCATCCTGACTGCAATAATTTCGTCCAGAAAGGTGTCTGCAAAACAGAACATCTAAAGGATCTAGTACAAAAGATTTTCTTTTCTTTGCTAAAGCTGCCATGCTATACAGTGACAGCATGTTATACTGCTACTCTGTAGGCCCCTTTCTGGTTCTTTTCTCCAGGAAGTTTTAAAGGTAGATACTTCTACAGTTGATATTTTGAAATTGAAAACTTGCAGAGTATGATACACAGCTCCCATGCTACCACGGACTTGCAAAAGGTGAAGCACTGTAAGAGAGCCTCTGCAAAATCTAAACAAATGAAGCAGCCAGAGCTCTCATTTTAAAAGGTTAAAGGGATGGATAAAAGGAGGCTCTGTCAAAAGGACTAAGTGGTCTTCTGATGTTCTGATTAGCAGCAGAATCCATTAGGAAGCGCTTGAGTGTAATTAGAATGGAGAGATTAAGAGAAATAGAATAGTAGAAGCATTTAGAAAAAATAGGAAGTGCAGAAATAGGTAACCTGCAACATAATCAAAGAAGCATATAGTAAGTGTTTTTAGTAGTTTCTTGCACAGTATAGATTAGAAATGATTGTAAACCGTGTATGAAAGAGTGAGTTATATAAATAGGTAATTCTATCACACCTTTTCTTAGTTTGTCAGCAGAAAAATTAAGATATCACTGCAAAATGCATCTGCATCAATAGCATAAGTAAACCCAAATTTACCAAATACACGAAACGTAAAGAAAATTTCATACAAATGCTAGAAAATCTGGAACACAAGTTTTAAAACTTGGCTTTATTTAAAGCTTTCTTGAGTCATTTGAATTTGTAGAAATATTACCTCAGCCACTCATGTTCACAGTCTGTAAACTGTGGACATAAACAACGGCATTGAATTGATGAGAATTTAATGTCAAAGCATAAGCCTGCCTAAATTAAAAGCAAATGGCATTCTATTTATGAACTCAGGTTACAGCAAATATTAAGGTCTGTCTTTAAACCAATGAATGCATCCTCAGATTAGCTGAAGCTCAGTCCCCTAACTGTGACAACAATGAGCTCAATTGGCAGCTGAATTAATGTTCTAAAGGTTGATTTAAAAATAACACAGGTCATGTATTAGTTTCAGTACTTCATAATTCTTACCCATTTTATCCAAATTAAACAATACAGTTTCCTTCATACCACCACTAGTTGAGAAGATCTGACCTCTGCATATGTAGAAAGTGACTGGGATTCCTAGGAATATATAACTAATGAGGAAATTTGCAATAAATATACATTAAGTGAACCAGAGAGCTATATCCTTTATTCATTAAGATAAGCACATGCAAAAATCACCAACTTAAGACATACTAGCTTAAAAAATACACTAAACAACTGGAACCATAACTGCAATTTTCTATTTCTACTGTACTGCTTGGTCTTATTGATAACATGTAATATACTCAAGAAACTCCACATGTGTCTCTGCACTAAAGCCCTACTACAGATGCATTCAGACTTTGGCAGATCCTGAGACTGGCTGCCCACTGTCCCCTCACTGATATAGTTTCCCTTGCTCATTACATTTTTTTCTTATTTCTAAATGCAGCTGTTGATTGCTTTAACCTTTAGCTGATTCCTTTGAACTCGGGAAATTTGTATTTTATTACAACTAAGCTAAATAGAATTTTAATTCCCATTCTTATTAATGCAGTTATAACATTATAAATGAGTTTTTAAAGAATATTCATAAATCAGTCTAAATCTTATGTCAATTGGTGCAATTCATGACATGTGAATGTCAGAATTTCTGAAAAGCTGATACATGGTCTTGTCATCATAACGGAGCCTCCTCCTTAGAACTGTGTGTCTACTATATCCTAAGTACCATACTGTAGTCACTGCTTTATAGTATTTAACATAATATTTAGTAGTAACTAGGATTTACAGCAAATCAGTTCAAGGATGAATGAATTAAACTGTACTTGGTAAACCTACTTCATTTTGCATCATTGAACACTGTAAGAAAGACTGTCACAGCTAGATAGCCCTTCATTTTAATTAATGCATTTGTAGCAGCATCAGTAAAATTAGTGCCAAAAAATGCAAATTAAGATCCAGTTATTAACATGCCAAATTTGGATTCTTGTGTCTCTATCTGCCACCTCCCCCCCAGGATAAATACATGACTCAGGAGAATTTACACAGCAATTACTCCACAGAGCTGTCAAGACATTTTGCAAAAGATCCTTTGTAGATGGAGACAGTGAAGTACTAAAAAGCAAGAAAAAAAATTTCCAGATTACAAACTATTTAAAGAACAAGACCAGACTAGAAAGCAATGCACATTTAGACTGAATGAACACTTTTTGGTTTGTAACTAGGTCATCAGATTAAATGCATCAAGACCCAGAGGTCTCATTACAGAGACCACAGACAGTGGCAGAAGACCAGCGGAAAGGCCCCTCAGAGCTGCTCATTAAATTTAAGTGTATAAGATTCTGTGTTTTCTTTCTTACAGTTCCAATTAAAAATCTACAGCGGGTACCTTTCAGCTCCAGCTTCTGCCCCAACCATGTCCTGCAACTCAGAAGTAAAGCCAGCTGTACATCTGCTTCTCACCTAGTATTTCTCTATGAAATGGCAGCTAGATGGAGACCACAGCAGCTCTAGCATTTTTCTGTGAAATGGCAGCTAGGTGGAGACCACAGCAGTTCCTCTGTGGTATTTTGATGGGAGGCCCGTACCTATGGGCATACCCAGGCATGCATGCTCTAAAGCCTCCAAGCTGATCATCCAAATGAAGAAAGAACCTACAAATTACTTTTTTAATCTTTCATTTGTATTTATGAGTGGGCCCCATAGTCAAATTGTTTTCACTGCCATTTTGCCTTATTGCCTGACTTCTTTCAGCATCCCTCAGTTAAATATGAGCAGCTGGTCCCAAGCAGATTTGAACAGAATTAAAACACAGCTATTCACCAGTTTGCAGCTATGATTCCTCTGCTGCTTGACAGAATAACTCTAAATCTATTTACTTGAATGGACTATTTAAAATTCAATTCTCAGTTTCCTGTCTGTGACTGCTACATCCTAAATTATTAGATTAAAAACCAAAATTGCTACTGTCACCACCATCTGTAGCAGCGAAACTATGAAACAGTTTTATTGCAAGTGCACAAACAGGTAATGTTCCAGTACAAGCTGAATGAAGACTTTGCCTCAGATAATCCTACTTTCCTTATATATCTATTTTAGTGAACGATTTGTGGGCTTGCTGTTTAGGGGCGATCTTTAAAATCGGTATGTTTCTTTATACATTATAAGATTTATCAGCGTCTGAAGAGCAAGAAGCGCTAAGACCTAAAGGTGGTGACTCCTTTGAGCCTGCGATGCCTGGAGCTGAGCAGTCACAGGCGCTTTTCCACAGGCCCGCGGTGTAGGTGCCCATCTGCTCTGAGGTGCCGCAGGAGCGTCGCTGCCAGAGATGGGTTTGTTTCTGTTCTGGGGCCTGTGAGTCTGAGAGTCACACCCTCCAGCAACTTCAAGTTTTGATTTTGGACTTTCCAGAGGTTGTTCCTTTCTCTCGCCAAGGGAAAAGCTGGTTTTCTCACACAGGATGTCGCCTTTTTCTTTGTTCCGTTTTTTTCAGCTCAGCAAGGCTCCTTCTTTGCATGGGCACCAGGTGTGGAATTTCTCCACCACAATGATCACCGGGTTCGTGGACTACTTCTACTCCTTTTACCTCAAGCTCACGGGCGGCAGCAGCCCCATTAATTTCAGCTACCGGAGCAATCACCTCAGCCGCTGCCGTGACATTACGCGGCCCCTGATCAGGTTTCGTTCCGGCCGCGCCGCAGCTCCGAGCCCGGCCCGCCCGCCCGCCGGCCGCGCGCGCGCCCGGAGCGCTGAGGCGGCTGCACCGCGGCGCCGGAAGGAGACTGCTCGCCATGGTGCGTGTGCCGGGCCGGGAATGGGGACGGGAATGGGGACGGGGACGGGAATGGGGACGGGGACAGGGGTGGGGGTGCGGGTGTGGCTCCCGCAGCCTGCGCTTCTGGGGACGGCGGTGGCTGCTCACGCGGTGCTCCCGGCCCCTTCATTCCCTCCGGGAGCGGCCCCACCGCGTCCCTGGAGAGGCGAGCGCAGGGCCCTGTGGGCCGATACCGGCGGCGAGCCGAGCTTGCACATAAAAACTGCAGCATGTCCTCCCCGGGGGTTCGCGGCCTTCCCGGCGGCGGGGCAGCGCGGTCCGCCTGTGGAGCAGGGGGGAGTGCCGCCGCCTGAGATTCCCCGAGGTGTCAGAACAGCTGCGTCTTTGACACCATCGCTTTTTTCGCAGCGCTAAGCACTGATGTTATGGCAGAGAATTGGATGTACTATAGTGTCCGTTTACTGATGGCCATTTGTTGTGATGCAGGAAAGAAACCCTGCTTTAAGGTGTTTCTTTTGGGCGCAGTTAAATAGCATATTACTTCATAAAGCATTCAGTTATGTTCAAACATTTTCTTAGCAGAAAGAAGAAGTATTACCATGCTTTGGATATTCGTGAGTGGTATTCCTTCTCTGTGCAGTATGGAGGGGTAGAGCAGGAAAGCCTCTGGCTGCTCCCTGGTGTGAAGTATTCCAATGATCTCTGGGGAGGAACAAGAAAATCGCTTTTATTGCATTGCTCAAATTACATGAGGCTCTTGTCAGAAACCCACATAGAAGCTTGAATGGGGACATTTTTCTGCAGAGGTACTGAGAGCTAATATTAGTTTCCTAGCTGCGGAGTTCTACGAAGTAGATATTCTGACAGTAGTCACTATGTAAGATTTCTTACAGCATTTCCTGTACTCCAGTGGTTTTGTTACAGCTTGTACTAGCTTCAAGTACTGTTGTTTTTGAAGTGAGTGAAATTAATAACATGTTACTGAAAGGTAAGGGCTTTCTTAGCTATCAGTGCATGACCTTTACCAGTCTTTACCATGGTGTGTACTTCTGTCTTCCCTTTCATGTTTTACTCAGCCTTGTTAGTACATAGTATCTTTGATGTCTTTTCAGCCAAAGTTACGAAAACCTCAAGGAGGGAAGCAAGAGAAAAAAGTTATCCATCCCTACAGCAGAAAAGCTGCACAGCTTGCAAGGGAAGTACACAAACAGGAAAAGAAAGAAAAGTAAGTTGACTGCAAAACCTCGGTTTTGATCTCTCAGATCAAAGAATAACATCACAATTTATACTTTTCATTTGTGGTAGTGGACATGGACTGTTATGCTGATACAACCACAAGAAAACAGAAAGGCCTGTATAACTAGTTATTTTTGCTGGGCCATGTGAAGTGACAGGTTTACATGCATTAAATCAGGTTATACAGAGTGTGTAGTTCTGCTGCTTTACTTTGAATGTTGTCTTTACAAGTCAGATTTCTTGCCTTTGATAATCTGAATAGCATGATGCTGGTGATTTCACATAGAAGTGAGTCACCTAGTTTGACTTTACTTCAAGTTCAGTAAGAATCCTGCTTAGGGTCTAGCTGCTTCTGCTAAAATGCTGAGTTAATAGAAAAAAAAACCCAGAAACCTTCCTGCAGAAGACAGACTTCTGAATCAAACTGTACAGTTAATTTCCCTCTGGTGGTTTTGTGCTGTTCCGTGGCAAGTTTGTTTTTCTGCTTTTAAGTTTTACTTCCTCTTCCCACAGAGGGAAAAGACAGCTGGTGAAGACTGGCCTTTGAATTACATTGTCTCAGGTTGCTCATTTTTATGCATAAATATATTTATTTAGGAAATTACTAAAGCTAGCTTAATGCATTTTCGGTCTAGGTAAAGTATAGCACTATATAAACAATATAATGCAGTATAAACTCTAGTGTCTGGATGGACCGTGTGAGCTGAGCCCAAATACTCATTTGCCTGAAGGTGTTAAATTGGAAACTCCTGGTCCAGACACTGTGCAGGTTTATTGTTGGGATTGATGTACAGCCTTATCCACAGCAGTTGCACTGTTGCTTTCACTAGAAGAGGGGCCTTTGCTGCCACAGTGGGGTCATGTAGCCTCCAGCAGGGCTGCTGCAAGAATTCACAAGCAGGATGTGTTGATTGGGCAGTTTCTTAATGTACAAGAGGTTTTCCCTGATGTTTCATATCTTTTCTGTGCTCTCCGACTATTGATAGTACATTTTTATTGCAAATTATTTTCCTACTGCTAAATTGACCACTTTGTCCCCTAGCTCTCTCACCTGGTGTCATAACAACTGCTCAAAGCTCTTAATCACAAAAGATGACTTAATCTTACTTGATTCACAGTGTTTGCATTTGTGACTTCACCATACAGAAAAACATGCACAAGAAAACTTAGTGAGGGAGCAATACTTACTGATTATTCGTTATGACATGGCACACTCAAAGCTTTTAGTGACAGTCTTGTGTGGTTAGAGTTACACTGATATGGACACCAGTGCTGATGTTTCTTCTTGGAGTGCTATTTTTTCTTCCTCTTGCAACAGCAAAAAGTTGAAAGGCCCTGCTGAAAGTGAGACAATATCCACTGCTTTCCCCTCATCCATTCAGGCAATTGTTTCATCATAGAAGCCAATCAGGTTGGTCAGACATGACTTACCTTTAGTAAATTCATGCTGCTATTCCTGATCACCTCCTTGTTGTGCATGTGGGTGGAGATGGTTTCCAGAATGAGGTGCTCCATTGCCTTTGCACTGATTTAGGTGGGGCTGACTGGCCAGCAGTTCCCTGGGTTCTCCTTCTTGCCATCTTGGAAGACCAGGTTGACATTTGTTCTCTTCCAGTCCTCAGGCTCCTCTCCTCATCTCCACAACCTTTTAGAGATGATCATGAGCGGTTTAGCCATGGTGTCTGCCAGCTTCCTTGGCACTCATAGATGCATCCCTCAGGGCCCATGGCTTTGTGGATGTCAAGTTTGCCTGGGTGTTCTCTAACCCAATCCTCCTTTGCCAAGGGAAAGTCGTCCCTTCTAACATTCCTTAACCCTGGTCAGAGATTCCTGAGGGCTGCTCTTGGCAGTGAAGGCCCATGCAAAGAAGATGTTTGGTATTTCTGCCTTCTCTGTCCTCTGGTGCCAGGGTCCCCCTCAATTCAGCAGGAGGCCTACATTAGCCTTAGTTTTCCGTTGGTCGCTGATGTTTTTGAAGAAGCACTATCCTTGCTATTTCAATCTAGGCTGATTGTAAAAGATGTAACCTTTCATTTTGCATAGGGATACCATTCCACCAAGAATAGTGTGTCAATTCTGACTATCCACATTGTGATAGCAAAATTATCTTAGATTTTGTTTCTTTATATCTTAAAAATAAGATTTATACATCTTACACTTCTGGGGCCTGAACAGTTAACTAACATTCTGTACTTTGTAGATCACTTTTGTTGTGGTTGTAAATCAGTTGCATGAAAAGCATCCTCCAATTCTCCGTTTTATTTCCTCTATTGTCTTGGCTTGAAGAGCAATTTCATTTGAAAGACATGAATAATGTTGTTTTTTTTTTCCCCTTAGTGTTTTTAAAAGAGTTGTTAAGGGTTCCAATTTCTTTTAATCTCTATTATCTAAACTATCAATTTGGTAAATTCTCAGTATTTTTTTTTTTAATATTGGAAATTAAATACGTGTTGAACTTTTTATTGTAATGACTTAGCTTTCAGTAATGGTGAAGCTTGGATTCATTTTGCATAGCTCTGAAAAAGACAAGACAAATTTCTGATGCTGTGAATGGAGGAAAGCTTTCCACTCCTACACTCTCGGGAAAAAGAAATAGCTCACACCAGTTTTGTTCTTCTGCATTGCTTCTGCAGGTCTATTAAATGTCTTTAAACAATTTTCCAAATTGCTTCTATTGAATGACAGCCCTCTTCTCTGGTGGAAGGTTAGTACATCATTTGGTGGTAAATAGAAGCTGCCTTGTAATCTCTACAGAATTTTGTTCCTTAGTCCTGTCTACAAATCCGGCATTTTTTTGACCATGCTTGTTATTGTGTAGAAGTAAGTTGTCTGAAGTATGAATAGGACACAAAACTAGAAATGGAATTATCTAGGAATTCACTAGGTCTGAGTAAAGGGGGTAGTTTCTCTGTACAGGCTAGTGCACTTCTGCAGAATGGAAAAAAGTATTCAGTAGGAAGTCCATAGAGGTCATATGTACTGTTTTTATTAAGCACCTTGCCAGAGGGTGCTTTAATTGTGGCTGGCTAAATTTATGCAGTAATACTTTTTGAACATACATACATTTTATCTGTTGATTACTATTTAACACAAAGTTATAGAATGTAGGAAACCCTTGAATGGTATGTTACTGGAGGATGAGAATATGTTATACAGAAGTACCAGTGAGTGTTTTTGGGTTTGTGTGGTTTGTTTATTTTGTTTTAATTGTTTTGGTTTGGTTGAGTTTTGGATTTTTTCCTTTGGTGCTTGTCTGGAGACAGAATTCCTGACTGGAGACAGTTTAGGCTTCTATTTGCTTATTCACTTTCATATAGGATGGAAGGAAGGAAATAACTACTGTGAATGTTCCTGTTTATGTTAGACAGAAAGGACAATTACATGAAGTTATGAGATGCATATTGCAGTATCTTTTGCCCAAACTAGATAGTAAAAAAGGGTAGACATTGTCCACAAGGAATTTCAATATTTAAAATGCAGCACTGGGAAAAAGGAGGGAGAAGTTCTGCATTAAGTCGCAGAAGTCTTTTATGGGCTCCATTGTCCACTCTTCACTGCAAGCATTCATAATGAAATATGACAGTAGTTATAAGTTTACTGTCCAGAAACTGTGACTGCACAACAAAAGACCAATCTTAAGCATAATAAGAAGAGACAGACCAATTGCTTTTAGAAAATTGGCTACAATTTTAAATCATCTTGTTCACTTCAATTACACCTTTTTCTTGCCTGCATCCATCTCCTCTCAATTCTCTTCAAGGTCTAATGAGCAGCAACAACTTTCAGTGTATTACTACCAATTTATTCTCTCTTAATCTACATGTGAGTTCTTATTCCTTTAGGCAGCTTGTTTGCTCTGTTAAATAATTACATGGATGTTTTTATGAGACAGCCATAGCTGCTTCACTGGCAGTAGTAGAACACTGACTTTTCTACACTTTAGGAAATCTGACCATAGTGGAAAATTAATGAAATTTCTTTAGTAGTGATGTACTAAAACCAGTCATGTTTTCCTGCAACTGCAGAAATACCTATCTGGTTCTGGTAGCTGAAGCTAATCTAGCTGTGCTTTTTTTCTGTAATTTTCCCTCCTGAGTCAAAATAGATCCTTTTTATTGTGCATGCACGATAAACTTCTTAGGAGTCAGTGCATTTTTATTACAGATAAGCCAGTCTAATACTGATATGCTCTGAGATAATATCTAAGGCGGTGTTATAGTGATGGGGTGTGAAGCGACCTTAGGGGTAAGCAACTGTAAAATGTTTCCTGGTAGAACTCTGTGTGTGCTTTTTCTGAGGTTTTCCCCTGTCTAGCCTCCTAATCCTTCTTGACCCACTATGCTTCTCCTTGCATTGATTGCAGCAGTGATGCTTTGTGACATGCTCTTGCAGATTCTTCATGAGGAAGTAAAAAACTGTTAGCTTTTAAAATTATTTATTTTGAAAAGCCTATCTTCAATTTTCAGAGCTATAGATGGCCTTTGTATGTGTGGATATTATTGGGGAAAAGTACTGAGTTTGTTATCTGAGTTGGGAAATACTTATTCATTGTTAGTATTTAGAGTAGAACAGTTGAATACAAAATCTGAGATAAAAAGCTGCTGAAGGAACATGTAGAATTTACTATTAAAGTAAATTAAAAAACCTTTAAAGTAGACATCAAGAAAAATACTAATCATTCTTATTAATAATCATTGCCTAAGCAGAGGATTTCTGGAAGGCAGGTGAAGAAGAAAATCATCAAGAAACAACAGCCTGCCACAAGATTGTGTCCCTGGTCTTACTCTCTCCTTCCCTGTACAAAAGCTATTACTCATTGTGTGGAAGGGGACGAGAGGAAGTTTCTTTGACTCACCTGATTTGATTAGCCTCCCTGCTAATGCTATTGTCTTCTAGCAGTCACTGAGGTGAGGTTTTTATAAAAAGTACAATAAGGCAACATCTGAGCCTATCATTCATTATTTCTCATACTGCAGTTAGTTGTGTGTACTAGGAGATTGAAGGTTTTTCATCCAGAAGAAAATTGTGGTTCTGTACTTCGCTGCTTTGATAAATAAATGTTTTATGGCCCTAGCAGGAGCAAGTGGCAGTTTGTGATGTTTCAGAATGTAGATGTGAGAAATTATCCTGTTCGGGCAGCTTTCCTAGATGTCATTGTCATTTTCTCCATGGAAAAGCTTTGCAGACAGGCTCGTCTGGCAGTGTTGCCTTGTAGGGTTCCCAGCAGGGATTGCTGGTGTGGAGTTCCACTGAGGGAAGTATGTGTCCTTTTCTGGATGCTGTAACCGTCCAAAGCTCTCTGCTGTAAATCCTCTGAAGATAAAAGCCTGCCCAGGTTTTATTGATAGCTTCTTCTACACATGCTGGGGTATCCATAGAAGTAAAAATTTCTTTGATGTGTTAGTGGAATTCTTAGCAGTTCACACATGCTGTGCATTTGCTTGTACGTGGCTTTTAGACAGTCTTCAGAGGATGAAATATGTCTTGAAAAATCTAGTTGTTATTTAATAATATAGGTTTGTGGACAAGTGACACAAGTGTGTTTGTCTCTGGAAAGGAAGGGTTTATCTGTTGATCCCAGTTTTTGTGGTAGGTGATAGATTTCTGTGCTCTGAGTTACTTCAGTTAGCTCTAAAATGCTCATTAAATTTTACAGAGTAAAAGGAATTTTATAAAAGGAGCACAATAGCTTTGAACTGTGATGAATTTTAGCATTATTTATTCTCTGTCAATTATAGCCTTTATGACTTACTTAATCTACTAATTTTCCTATTTAATAATAATAATCAAAAGTCCATTTATCAGAGGTCATTGAATATATACACTGAATATTCATGGCTAGGATATTTTTTCTGGTGACAAATTTCACACTTAGCCCAAGAATGTCTTGTTTTCCTTTCTGGAAACAACAGAACATTGCAACATCCTTTGATGCAGATGGAATCTGACACCTTGAGGACAAAAGAGCATAAAACATGGGATTTCCTGATAGGGAATTTCTTTTTTTTGAGAACTCCTAATAAGGATGAAAATTAATCCCAAATAGAACTGTGTATCCACATCCCATAGAGTACAGAAGGCTTTTCAGTATCCTGCCAAAGATTCAAATGGACTTGTGATTCAAGTACTGTGAGAGACAGAGTTGGGTTTTTTTCCATCTTGTTTAATTAAGTTGTTAGTTTTGGTATCTTAACATATTAACTTACTGTTTGCTAAGGACAAGGTTTAATTATTACAAGTTTTAAGGTAACAGAATGGTATTTTTCACATTGCATGCTTGATTTGCAAGAATGCAATGCAGTGTAATCTCCCAACTCATTAAACATACCAGAAGAATATCAGAAATATGTAAGAAAATTGTGACAATGCGGCTCTTCGGTATAATTACTTTTGTTGCACTCTGAGAAAAATGTTCCATCTTTTTTTCTTTCAAAAAACTTTTTAGCTTAATAGGTAAACTGGACAAATTTCAGCTAGTAGTTTTACTGCTAGCTGAAACAGAAAGAGTTTTACATTATTTGGAATTTGTCAAATATTTCTGTTTGAAATTATACCTTGACTTTCATTGTGACTGGAAAAACCCCAACTTTTTGAGAATAAAATTAAGGTTGTTGTTTATATAGTCCTCAGTCCCGACTAACACATCTATTTTTTCTCTGCTAGGTTGAAGACTGACAAAGCTTTGCGTTTAAGTATTATTGGTAAGCAGAAACTTCTGTTACTGAGTACAGTATTCAGTTTCTTAGTAGAGATTCTACGTTTCAATTTTTAGATGTCCAGTTAGAGCTTCTTTTTCTATAATCTGATTCTGCAATCTTCAAATAGACTGGGTTGAAACACTGAAATACCTGATGTCCACTTAATATATACAGGATTGAATTTGGGGATGAGTATAGCTAATCTTTTGTGAGTGTACACAACAGCAGAGAAATATAGACCAAATGAGTATTTTGTACATCTGTACACATATTTTTTTGGCCTCCAAGCTTTTTATAATTGCTTGTAAAAGAAGATGATATTTATAGCTTAAAAGACACATTGTGTGTGTAAAGACACATTGTGCAAGTAAATTCAAAACTTTGAGACACAATCTGAGATACTTTTCCATATGATTGATCCTGCAGCTTTTCAATTTAACCTGTTTAAAAACAGATTTGATGATCCAAACTCTTACTCAAGCCATTGTGTTGTTTTTTTCCCCCTAAGTTTCCTTCCTAAATAATTGATCTAGTGATATTTTAATTAATTTCTAGTAAAACAAAGCCTAGCTTTTTTTTTTTTTTTTCCCTGTAAGGGAGGTATAAAATAAATCTGAAATTATGTGAAAATGTTTCTGTTACAGCTGCCTTCATACCTGGTACCCACAGTATCAGAGTCTGTGATGCCATTCAAAATCTTGAAAAATGGGGGGCACAATTAGAAACTTTGAGAAACTTTAATATGTATTGATGCTACAGTGGTGGTGTAACCATTAATATTAAGTTTATTCTTGTAGGAGAAAAACTGCAATGGTTTCAAAGTCACCTTGATCCCAGTAAAATCGAGTACACAAAGAAGGAAGCTGGTGAACTAATTGAAAAGTAAGACTGCTGTTAAAAACAAGATTAAAAAGCTTGACTTGTCTTTAAAAATAATGTGATGATGACTCAGAGGAGGATTTTTATATATTGTAAATTATAATATCAAGTAGTTGATTCTGTTTCCAGTGACAAATATTGATAGACATATATAGTCATACTAGAATTATTCAAATAAGTAGTTTTATTTTAAATGATTGAAATTTATCCCTAGTTTTGTAGTGTGTGGAGGACCTTAAATGATTTGGGCAGTGTAATCACATGCATTTTCTTGTTGGGTTATTTTGTGCCACCTGAACACGCAGATTTCATACTCCTTACTCCTTGCGTCTCCAATAAATAAAGAAAATAAATTAGAAAATAAATCCAATTAGTAAAATAATTTATCAGAGTAATTCTGTTCTGCAATTTTTTGGTATGACTGCATCTACCTTTTATGCATTTTATTTATTTCAGTTATATGTGTCGATTCAATGCTGAATTGGAGCAGATTGAATTACAAAACAGTATTAAAGGCAGACAAGGAAGACAGCATGGTTCACGGGAAACTGTCATCAAGCAGACAATAGAACGTGAAAGACAACTCTATGAGGGCTATGGAATAGGTAGGTAAAAGTATTAGAAATAATTCAGTCCTCACACCTGCTCACAAGGCCAGAATCTAAGCAAACTTTCTAGGCATTGTCCTTATTCTCTTTTACCTGGGATGAGGGCCATAGTGAAGAAAAGATGGTGGAGATCTGACTCATACATTCTACTTTTGCCTTTCTTTTTGCATCTTCGCTAGTACTGCCTTTTCAGTGCAGGCATATACAACCTATTTTCCAAACTAAAGTGAGTTTTCAATGCACTTGCCTTGAATTCTGTACAGCAGCTGGTTGGACCCTCATTTGAGGCTGGAACTGGGCTGAAGGGAAGCAGCAATAGTTTGGTGAAATAAGGAAGAAAGACAAAGAGATAATGAAAGTTCAAAAAGCAGAGTTGTTTGGGGATAGTCAAAATAAGCAGTGAAATGTTTGTATTTTGCTTTAACCCATAATATGCATGTTGAAGCTGAGTGGTGAACTTGGCTTTAATGTTAAAGTATTATCCAGACATGACTGGATGATTGGTCCTTCTAGTAGTAAAATATGTTGTGTAAAACATGAAAAATCTATGTTATTCTGTAGTTAGGATTCAAAGCACAGCAGGAATATGACACAATATTATGTGTCATATTCCCTGGTCAGCTGTCCCAGCTGTGTTCCCTCCCAGTTCCTTGTGCACCCTCAGCCTCCTCACTGGTGGGCTGGGGTGAGGAGCAGAAAGGGTCTTATCTGTGCAAGCCCAGCTCAGGAATAATGAAAACATCCTGTTTTCATCAACACCATTTCCAGCTAATCCAAAATACAGCCCTGTACTAACTAGTGTGAAGAAAATTAACTCTACCCCAGCCAAAATCAGCACACCCTGATATGTACTGCACAAACCAAGAAAATTAATAACTTAAAAATTTTGCCAGTGTGGCCAGCAGAGGAATTTAAGAATATCTATATGACTTCATGCATCATCTTTGATGTCTTAGAAGGAGGGGGAAAAAGTAATAGGAATATCGATTCTGTGATTGTAATCAAACAGCTTAATTGTAGAATGTATTATTTTTATTTTTTGCTTTTAAATTTTAGTTCTTTTTTTCCTTAGTGCTTTATGGAAAGCTGAAAGAAAAAGGCAGTAAGGCTAGAGAAAAAGATGTCAAATGCACAAGCAAAACATAAAAATAATGAAGAAGCTAGAAATATTGTAGGCAAAATTTGAGTTATTATAGAATTAGTAAGTAAAGCATTCAGAGAGCACAGTGCAACTTCACATATTAAATACACTTTCAAATCATTCGTTATTTGTTATCACAGCTGCTGCAGGTTTTGCTCTCTGTCTAGGACAGTGTTCATTCAGAGAAAATAGTTGCTGCTAAGTACTATAGCAACTAAATACTGTAATTAGAGATTGGGCATAAATGGAAATCAGCTGGAAACAGTGCTTTTATGCCTCTAGCTCATTATTAATCCTAGAAGCTTTATTGAGTGGAGCTTTTATAACTGACTTAGATTTGTTGGGTTTTTTTGCCCCCTGTTCTTGAACTCAGTTATTTCTTGTATGCATGTGCATTTGCTATGAAGAGACTGCATAGTATGTATTTTTTTCATTTGGGAAAGTCTACTAAAATTTGATGCAGTCTGTTTATATCATAGAATAAATTAGGTTGGAAAAGACTTCCAAGATCATTAAATCCAACCTTTGACCAAACACCACCACATCAACTAGACTATAGCACTAAGTGCCACATCCAGTCATCTATTGAACACTTCCCGGGTTGCTGATTCCTCCATCACTTCCTTGGGCAGCTCATTCCAATGCTTAACACCCTTTAAGTGAATAAACATCTGTCCTGATGTCCAACATCTTCCCTGGGTGTAGCTTGAGGACATTTCCTCTTGTCCTGTCAAGGATATATGTAAATGAAAAACTAATCCTTTACAAAATGCAAGCATTTGTTTACAAAAGTGGCAGACGTCCCGAAATATTGTAAATTTCAGCCTTTTTTTAAACAAACAGTAGCTATACAGGGAACATCAGTGATGTTGTTGAGGTTTAGCAGCTCCTTGTCCTTAGTCCTTAAATATATCTACAATAGTTTTACTGCAGTTATCTTCCTCTTGTTTTCATTTTTGTGTATTTGGGTTTTCTGTTTAATCTGGTTTTACATGTTTATAGCAAAGCTATTGAAAGGCAATGCTAGATATTTATTTATTTGTAACCCAGAGTCAGTATGCTTTCAGTGGAAAAGCGTGATAATTATTTAATGTGAACATCATCTATTTTTGATAATTGCTTCTAATTACCTAGCATGTTCTCTCAGATACATAATACTAATATTGGGGGAAAGTGGCTTTTAAAACTAAATACACTAGTTTTATTAATTAGTTCTGGAGGCTTCACACTACAGGGAAATCAATTTAATTCAGATGAAAGCTGTATCATTTCTACATATCTGCTAATGTAACTTCTGTACTATACAGTAGCTACTATTTTCTGTAATGATCATTATTGTGTAACTAAGTAATTTTTTGCTTAAAGAGCATCTACGGTTTCCTTCTTTTTAAAAGGCTGTTTGTTCATCCACAAAAGAAAGAAAAACTACCTGAAAGGGTCAGAAACATTAAAAAATGTTTGCTTATGTTTACATCTTTCACTGCTCTTTTCCTAAAATCTATAAATTGTTGACTACTTTGTCTTAGAAATGCCAGACAATCTACTCCCCAAAATACTGTCTTCATTTCTGTGCCACTGATTCTTGTTCCATATTTCTCTTACATTTTTTTCAGTCTTTAGTTCAGAAAAACATGCTCCTATGACTTAACATTTTAACGCAAATGAAGGAGTTCACAAGCAGCAGCAAAAAACATGGCAGTGTTGCATGCTAAGGAGATGCAGCTGAGTTAGGCAAGTGTTACTAATCCAGCATAATTTAGAAAATCAGTTACTGTGCAGTATATAATTACTTTATTTCTACACACAAATTCTATTCTTAATCTTGCAACTCGGTAGTTTTTATTGTGTAACATATTGTAAACACATATGTAACTGTATTAAAAATGTTGCCACTGCCAAAGCAATAAATATGCCAGTGACAAATCTTGGTTTGTCACAGAATATTCTCTCAGAGTATTCTCATGATGTTGGTGAGCCCTGGATAGATAAACATTATCTGATGGTATAAGCATTATATCTGATGATATAAACATTATCTGCCAAACTCGCTGTTGACATCACCACATGCACTACTAGGGGCAAATGGAGTAGCACTAATTGCTCTTTGTAAAATACCTGGGAGAAGGGAAGAACTGCTTTCTCTTGTGGGAGCTGGGATGTTCCAGCCTTTGGCACTGTGCTTCCATGAATGCAGTTCAAGGGACTGCAAAGAAAGTAAGAGCAACCATGGCTTTGTTTCAAAGCTTTATTGGGAAGGATGGACCTAATGTGGCATGGATAGTTGGCATGGATTGTGGCATGGAACCAAGGAATCAACAGACCAAAAAAGCATTAGGTAAATGTTTCTTTGCCTTGCCTTGCTCAGCTGTGAGCAGTATCACCTCATCTGTTTACTGAGGAGCAGTCTGCAGAAATCACTGTAATTGTTATCAAAACATTTTGCATATATTATTGTTCTTCAGTTGGTAACTTCATAACCAGTTGTGAAAGGAAGGAATAGTTTTCTGAATAGTAAGGATTGTCTGGCTACAAAGATAAATGGTACAGGTATCATCATCCTATGTTTTATAGTAGCAAAATCATCCATAATCCTTCATTGATAGCATGATTTTATTTAGTCCTGTAAAACTTGAGGAAATTGATAGATGAACAAAACCAGAATTCTTTGTTCAAGGACAATATAAAAGTTGCTGAAATGTCACAATTTTAAGAGCTAAAATAAAGTGGATTTAATGTTACAGAGGTAGAAAACATCTGTCTTGTTTAGAGCCTGTTGGCTGTGGAATCTGTACAGTTCATAGACAGTAATGAGGTGTTTTATACTGTGGGAAGGTGTCAAGGCTCCTAAGGTATAAATCTCCATAAATTAGTGGTGATGTTAAACACAGGCTGCTTGTAACACTGCAGGACTGACCAAGAAAAGAATGACACAGAATGGCAAAGCAGCTTTGGCATCCAATGTAAAAATCTGCCTAAATTTATAAATTACACTATTTTAGGAAGACTTTGGCTATTCTGGAAGGAAAAAAGCAAAATGGTCTGTTCCGCAGGTCTCAATACAAAATATTTGCCTTCCTTTTTACTAGCAAAGGTAATATAGATATGTATGTATTATTGTTTTATTTGTATTATTATTTATATTTATTTTATGTTTATATATATATAGTGGTTTCTTTTAGAGCAGTTTGGTTGCAGTGAAAAGGAGGTATGTAGCCATTTTGGTTAGAGGCCATTTAGCTCACATTTATTCCTTTGAAACGAGACTCACTTGATTAATTTAATATATCTAATAGAATTTAATTTCTTTCCTATTAGAAATTCCAGACATTATGAACAGAAAGCATCTTAAATTTTTCAGGTATGTTTTTTCTTATCACTGATAATCTGTTTATGCAAAATAGTGTTTCTGAAGTTCACCTGTTGTATGTCTTTTTTCAAAAAAAAAAAGGAACATAGGCAAAACTGCAAAGGTATTTGTAATTTGAAAAAGCAGAGTAGGTATGGCACTGCTATTTTGGCATTTCTTAGTTGTTACAAGCTGAACACCTGTGCCAGTTATTAACTAAAACATTGGAAGATTTAGATTCGACAGTTAGAATGCCATATCTATAACTTACATAACTTTTTTTCTCAATCTTAGATAATATTTTACCTAAAATTCTGACTTCAGCTGTTTACAGTAGTGTTGGTATGTGTGTATATATGAGTTGAAAATCTTAAATGAATTTACAACTTGCATTCAGTTAAAAGATCTGGGAGCTGTGAAACTTGCTGCTGGCTCATCTGGGCCAGCATGTTGGTATGTCCTGGTAGTAGATTGAGTGAGCATTTTTGCTGACAGCTCTATCAAGTGAAATAGTTTAAAGGAAGAAAACAAAACCAGCTTAGGAATGCTTATTTTGCAAGTAATGCTGTATCACCAACTTGCAGGGATGGTATGTAGCCAGAAGTCGTACTTACAGGATGTTGGAATAAAGCCAGAAATTCCAAAGAGAGACTGCTGTATTTATAAATATGCAATTGACTTCTTAAACAGGGACATCAGATAGAATTGTTGTTGTATTGCTTTGTTAAAGGAAAAACATATCTTATAATTGGCAAATACTGTCTTTGCCCTTGAGAAAAATTATCCATGAAGTGCACTTACTATAATCAAGAAAGCATTCTATTAAGTGAGTACTGGCTTTGACTTCTGTTTAAAACAACCTGTTCTCCTTAATGCAGCTCTTTGAAATAATACACTCACCATGTGAACTAATGCTTACTAACCCTTTGTGTTCTCTTGAAGTTAGTCATACAGCATGTTAACATTTACCATAAAACACAAGGGACTTACATACATGTGATGTCACATATGCAAATCAAACATCCAGATGAAGAAACTCTTCTGACGTGTTTTTCTGTTGCTTACCCAGACTGCAAGTTGAGTAAGACAAACCTAAAAGCAGGTGGCCAAAAGTAAATGAGGGTACAATAAGTCTGTGGGAATAAAGTATATATATATTTGTTTCAGAATATCACATCTGAAAGTACTTATTTCTTCATAGAGAAATTACATCTTCTGTAGTGTACAAAATCAGGTGAAATCTTTGGTGCTTATTCATACCATAGTGAGACAGAGGATAAGTTAGAAAAGCAGCCTCACTTGAGTTAGCATCTTCTGAGGAAATGTGAATTAACTCTGCCATTCCTTCCTGTCTATTGGTAATTGGTTTTCATTACCTATTTTTTCTCTTTAAGAGAATGGGATGGTGATCTGAGGAAACTGCCAAACATCAAAATGAAAAAGCTCTCAGCTAAGGATGCTGCCTGCAGTCACCCTGAGGTGACAGATGCAAAAGCAAAAGAAGACTTGAATGAAGAAGAAGAGGTGGGCCCTGACGAGCACCAGCTGATTCAAGAGCTGAAATAGTGAAGGGAATTGTAAGAAACCTATTTTAATTTTCACTGGAAACAAAAATAAAATTTAACTATATTTCTAAAGGCTTTAGTGGTTTTTTTTTATTATTTGTCTACTTATGGTAAAGAGTAAACAATATTACTGGATAAAGTTATATATTACTGGATAAAACCTTTTGACTATAAATAAATACTTAAAATCTTAATTGTGTAAATTTGTCTTGAAATCCCCCAACTAGCTGAGTACCTTTTCTGTCTAGATTCAGATTGGAATACTTTGTGGTCAGAAATCCTTACCTTTTTGTGGTAATTGCAATAATCTGTTAAACATGAGGAACTCTTCTCTTGTACCTTCTTTTCTTTGAGAATCTGTGTCAGGATCATAGAGATCTGGAAATGCTTCAATAAGATGCTGAGTATTTTATATTTTGTCAAGAGAATTCGAAAGAGTTACTGTCCTCAACAATCTCTATTGCAGAATTCAGATAAAAAGCCAGTCAAAGTCCCTGCAGTCTGTTTTAAAATACATCTTAGTCTGTATTTTTTCTCTAATCCTTTTGTTGAGAATTGAATTGAAGCCGCTCAGGACTTTTCAATAGTATGCTTGCTTTATGAAGCAACTCTTTAGATGCTTTTAAATGTGCCTTTCAGGAAAGTTGTTAGCAGATTATCACTTTAAAAGCTGTAAAATGAATTTTAAAAAGAATGAAAAAGGGCAAGTGCAGAACTAGGGATAATTTCACAGCAGGCATTAAGTAGAATATCTCAGTGTGTATTAGGTTGTCTGGGCACCGAAGTCATAGTTCAGCTGAACTGTTTGTGCACATGGTAGTAGTCACAGCTCAAATGCCTATTAATTATGTGGAAATAATTATTCCTGGTGGATGATCTTTTTAGTACATGATCCCCAGTACACTTCTGTGTGCTAAACAATCAAGACTTTGTCATAGTAAATAGTTATGTGGGTTTCCTAGAATTCTTTTACAGACATCCAGGTGTGTATTTTAATAGCTGTGCAGAAAGAGTTACTGATGAGTGTTAAATCTGTTAATGTGTATATTAAGTTCTTCCCTCTTTACAAATAGGCTTGTGCTATCCTTTCATGTTATAAGAAACCAATCTCTTTAGGTTATATAGAACTAACAACTGTCCTCTATAAATTATTCTAAAGAAGAAACCTGAATAACTTTTAATAGACCTGGAGCATGGGTGGGTAATGTAATTTATCTTTGGGTGGACTGCAAGTCTTAAACTTGGCTAGAGGTCTTGGCCTCTGACACCAGCCACATCTCCAGGCCATCACATCACTGCTTTGTGTTTGTGCTTGAGAGATCAGTGTACTGAACTTCATGGTATTTTTATATCTTTGTTAAACTGAGCTGTGTGGTGAAATTTATCTTGTTTTGATTTATAAAACTTGAGGTGGTAAACTGTGGTAGAAGCTGAGCCAGAATAATTGGATTGAACTAAACTTGTTTATGTGTTTGTTTCAGTGCTTTGACAGATTTTGCCTTTTGGAAATTAATTTTGAATTTTTGCTTGTATACAAAGTCTGAGGTTTGAAATTGCAAGTAGAAACATTGAGTCACTTTCCCATGACACTTTGTAAAATATGGAAGGAAAATGAGCAGATAACTCAATAACTGGAAGGTGTCATAGTAATTGCAGTATTATTAGGTTGACATACTGGTGAGTGCTTCAAAAAGATTGTTAAGCAGTTATGAAGAAGATGTTCTATATTGCTTGAAACAGTTCAGTAATAAGATGCTATAAAAATCTGGGTAATGTGTGAAATTAAGTCTTAAACATTTTTCATTCAGACTACAAGAACATGTTTATAGATCAGACCTTACTGACTTTTTTGAATTTTCTTCCTTGACGTCCATATAGTCAATGCTTGTTTAGCTGGTTTTTAAACAGACTTGTTAAACTACTGCAGAAGTAATGAAAAAAGAACAGTGTACAGGCCTGGGGTGGAGGGGTAGGCAGGAAATGTAGAGAGAGTTTTTTGCTTCACATATGTTACTGAGACAAGCTGTTGGAATCTCTTCAATTAATTTCATAATCCAGTCATACTTTATAACCAGCTATTAGAGTGTTGTATGTTAATGGTTTCTTTCCTACAGATGAAGAAAAGACAAATGCTCTCAGTTCTGAATTGTTACTTTGTTTCTTTAAAATTTAGAAAGTAGATGCTGGTAACAGTGGGAATGGGAAGTAGTTATGTGATGTTTTCTGTTCTTACAGACTGCTGAGGAGAATAACTTGAAATTCTGTTCTTTTGTAGCCAAGGATTTCAGATTTTAATGCTAAATCCTCTGTTCATATTCTCTGTAATTTAGGGGTTTTTTTTCTGGTACAGGATTCATTTTAGGGGGGATTTCTTTCATTCTAATTTGTCAAGTACTGTTTTGCAATGTTCCTGTGTTTCTTTTATTTTTCAACTCAAAGCTGTAATAGTTAAAATTACTATTTCATTAATTATCATGGCTCATATTAAATATATAACATTTCAAACAAAATAGTAATATTTTTACCCATAAAGCCACTTTCATGAAAGAACTTCAGGTTTTTTTAGTGTACTTTCCAGTTTGGTGCAATGTTCTTATTCTGTTTTACTTCATCCAGGCTTCCCTAAGGAACTGGCTGAATTACATTCAGACTTTCAGTAGCAGCTGAGTTGTTAGTTGTGAAACATACCCTACTGATGGTCTCAGCTGGAAAGAACCAGCGGTCTCTAAGTCCAGTAGAAATGATGATTTTTTTTTCTTTCGTTTACATAAAGCAAATGTGATTTAAAAAAAAAGAAAAACCAAAATCAAACAGAAGATGCTGCTGTTCTCAAACCTGCATGTATACAGTAAATGTAAATTAATTTACAATTCCTTAGTATTGGAAACAAATTAAGCCATTTGTAAAGGGATATACTTAGTATAATGATTTTTTGTTAATTTGTCTTTCAATGCAATAACATATTTATTCATCTCTGTGATGACACTGCCATATGTGAGGACAATCTGGGATAAAAAATGTATATATGGGAGTTTAACTTTTTGAAATGGGTTTGCTAGACACCTGGCAGATATGAAAGGGTAGTACAAAAAATCTTTTTTCTCAGCAGAAAAAGTTCTCTGCAACCTTCGAGGTTAGTTTTCTAATAAAGGGCAATAAAATGCTTGCAGTATGGAATTACATCAAATTGGCTTGTTTGGTCAGTCTCCGCATGATACAATGCATAATTTATTCTATCTTCCAGCTCTTTCAAGAGCAAAAATTCATTATAGTTGAGTTCCAGACTTCCCCAAAAGAAGAAAATTTCATGAAGGTAAGAGACTTGGCTAATGAGATGTTGTGATTTATGCTCTGCAGTTTAAGCTGTTGTCTTAAAATCACCTGCCAAGGTCCTGGGCAGAGTTCCTCTAAGAAAACTGAAAATAAGCTGATGGTGAGACACCATAATGGTGCTGTAATCAAGTTCCCTAGGCCTTGACTCTCCACTTTTTATTAAAATGTTAAAATATTAAAATTATTAACCTGTAACTAATTACCTGTTACAAAGGAAAAATAAAAGTAATCAAATTATTAGACTAAAGTGATGGTATTACTCTAAAAACAGAATTTTAAAATAATAAATTTAGTAATATCAATATTGCTAAATAAAAAGGGAAGCATCTTACTAATATCAGCTCTTATTCAAGCTCACACAATTGACCAAGACAGTACCATGCAAATTTAAAACTGATAAAGGGATGTTGCCAATTGCTAAGATACAAAGTGCTCAAAAAAATCTCATCCACACTTTTCAATGAAACATTCTTTTTCCCCAGCTTTCAAAAATTGGCAGCAAACCTAGAGGTAAGTGGCACTTGAAGATTCATTAAAGCCTTTGCCTGAACTTCTGGACTGATTTGTTCTTTTGACTGTATATTCTGGGCTCCTGTAAGTAGCAGTCTTTCTTCTGCGAGCCATTAACACTTAGGTTTGTCCTTATCTGACTTTAATATGACCCCATCTTAATCCTGCAAATTTGCTTTCCACTTCTATCCTCTTTGGGAGCCATTATTAAAATATGTTGATCACATTGTTCACCATGTTTTCAGTCATGTGAACTATCTCCTCGAATTACTAGTGGTTTACTTAACACACTTAAAAATTACTGTGACCTATCTTCTTTATTTGGAATAGCACTAATTACTAATTATAATTACTATACTTTACTTTCATATATTATCTTCTATGAGTTTAAAAAAAAAAAAAAAAAGTCCTGTGATTCTGTTAGTATCAGTTATAGGTATTTGCAGGTAAAAAAATTGCAAGTTTGTCCCAGGGTCCACATTTTCCAGCAGACTGGAATCATTCTGTTCTCAGTCAAGGTTATTTTCTGAGCTGTGTGTCATAGATAGTGGAAATGTGGTACACCAGTATTTTTGGCAAGTTCTTTGACAATTTCTTTGACTTTTAGGAAAGCTCATGCAGAACAGCCTTAATATTTTATTGGCTGAAATGTGTATACAGACACCAAACTAAACAGAAACATGCTTTATGTTCTAATGGTGCCCTTCATCAAGAGATTCGAACTATTGTGCGCAAAACAAAAAGCTCAGGGACTCATACCTCTGCTCTCTTAATTATGAAACCAAAATTGGCTCCACTTTTCCATATGCTAATAAATGAAAAGTAATGTATCTTTACTAGGGTAACTCCTTTGTTTATGCTGTTTTTTCTGTATCTTGCAAAGATTTGTCAATCTATTTGGATTTACACAGTGAGCTAGTTAGGGCAGCATTAAGAAAATGAAAAAGTGGCTAGCCTTGGATATACAGAAAGAAATTTGTTAGAACATTACTTCTGTGTTTTGAACATATATTCTTACCAATCATCAGCCATATGATTCTAGCTAGAGTTGTGGTATTTTGAAACTTAGCTCAACTCTCTCCCCAGCTGATCATCTACGAGAAAGATACGGAATAGGTGGATCTGTACAAAACTAAATTTGGACCTTGGTTGGAACATTCTGTTTTAGTCAAGGTAAGGTATTTTCTTTGGTTTTACACTTCACAAAATGCACAGGCTTTTTTTATAAT